AATGTAGACAACCACCACCTCCTAACACTTTCCTAACAGCCTGTGGAAGTGGGTATTTCTGCAGAAATGACTGAGTTCATTGATTGATTACTTTATCAGAGACCTATTGAGTAATTACGTAAAAAGATGACAGCATGCATCCATACTGGACTGTGAAAGTCTAAGACAAGAAATTTATGTTCTGAAAGTCAAAACTAAGTAAATAAATACTGTAAAGACCAAAGCTGTAAACTTGACTTGTTTTATCATTACTAAGAACCAGTGTCTCCTCAATATAAGAAATTATTTTCAGCCTCAGAAATTTTACACCAAAACCCATGTGTTTCCTGGCTTGCCTCAGAAATGGCCAGTGCCTGTCCAAGGGCTGTTCGCTATGAACTCTGCAACGGTGGGGATTTGCTATGTCTCAGTTTGCCACACCCAGGACACTGATGTTTGCATATCAGCTGAGAAAGCAGGCGACAACAGGTCGGGCAAACAGTCACGGAAGCTTGGAGTTGCTCTTCAAGACAGTCATCGGCCTTAAACATCAACAGCAAAGAATTCTGAGTTAATCTATCGAACACACAGCAAGCCTTTAGCATAAAAGTATTGGATGAGAGTCTAGGGACCGAGTGTTCCATAGCCTGAAAGAAAGAGATTTTAGCATGAATAATAGAGCAAGCAGACAAAAGGAACTCTTTTGCAAAGTATGATATGATCTCTAAATCATGCTAGCATAAAATACCAGACAGACAGTATGGTAGGGGCCCAGAGCGACCGTCCACATTAGGACGAAAGAAGCTTTCTCAGAAGCAACAGCACGTTCGTTGGATATTGAAAAATGGTGACCATCTACAAGTGCTGAAAAGCCAGGGAGTTGGGAAGCAGAGGCCACGTTCAGAGAGTGGTTGGAGGCACCCAAAGCCTGAGGCTCTCACAGCCAGTGGAGACTCGGGCAGGGTGTGGGCTGCGACCTAGCCGTGAAGATGCCAGCCCATACCCTGAGGAGTTTGCCCTATATTTGTTTAGTCAAAGACACCATCTGTGTTCAGGGAATGAAACTGGTAGACTAGGGAGGCTGGCGGGAATGGCAAGGATGAGCCAGCCCTACGGGGAACAGGGAGAAGTGGCCTCTGGCACACAGAACATATGAGCTAGAAACCTTCGTGTATTCCCGAAGGAGTGATTGCTCTGTCGGCATCTGAGTACTCAGGAAAAGTGAGCACACCAGCCATCCACAGGGGCTGCTAGTGGGAACAGAGGACTGTGTGGGTAAGTCTAGCAATGACAATGTGTGCCAATTATACCGGCCAATGGAGCACAGACACTGGAACCACAGGTGCCTGACCTGCCTTGTTATGTGGATAAGGTGGTACCTAGTCACCTCCCCTTAATGGTCTTTTAAGTAAACTCTACTCCCAACGTGGGGTTGAACTCATGACCCTGAGATCAAGAGTCACACGCTCTACCGACTGAGCCAGCCAGGCGCCCCTCACCTTTCCTTTTTACATGGCATTGCAGAAAAGCATCTGATTTTTTAAAAGTTTTTAAGAGTAGACTCGATCTCTTGCCTATTAAAGCAAATATAGCAAACTGATGGTATTTGTTAAATTTGGCTTGTGTCTATAATTCTGTTTTCTGGATGTTTATATTTAAAAATGATATAATTTTCAGTTTTCAGTTAAGTTAGTATATATTGGGAACATTTCGAATTATGGATACATTAAACACATTTCACTGCTTAAAAGCAAAGCAAAAAAAAAAAAAAAGAAGAAGAAGAAAACACCTGAATTCTCTGAAACTGGATTTTTTAAACATTGTATACATACAACATTTGTGTTGGGGGAACAGAGAGGAGAGTTTCTTAAACATATTCATGTTGCTACAGATTTTAAAATGGGTAAGAATCTATCTCTTAAACCTGTTTCATTGTGCAAAGAAGAAGACATTGAAAGTGTCAAAAAGCCCAAAGAAAAATGCTGAAATGTCAGCTTCGGGGCATGTAATCTTGTGTCGAGGACGCTCGCACCTCGGCAGCAGCCCTGGCGCAGGGTGGGGACGCGTCTCACGTGTGCTGCGAGCAGGAATAAAATGCAGGGCTTTGAAGTTACCCCAGACTTCCGTGAAGTGTCCAAGGGCTGACAGGCCCACGCAACGACACAGGAGAGATCCTGTGACTGAAAGAGCGCGTCTCGCTTGGAAGTCTGGGACGCCAGAGTCGATCGTTTCCAGAATACGCGTCGCTTCGCATGGGCGGACATGCAGGTTTAATAACCTGAAGTACATGTGTGCGTTACGTCTGAAAGCACTATTTCCCTTTCAACCCGAAGAAGTCACTTAACGACAATTAAAGGGACCCAAGGAGCAGACCGATGGGAATGCTAAGAATTATGGCTCTCCAACACGTCTGCATGTGAACTTTGAGGCTCCTTTTCAGGACTGTGTCCAAACCAGAATATTTTGGAATCGGATAACTTGGACGCGTATTTTCCTCTTTTTATAATGCGGTTATTAAGGTTGAATGAATAGAACAGTGTCACTGTTAAAATCCTCTGCAAAAGATTCTATGGGAAAAAAGAAAATAAAATTTCAACGTGCTACCACCTTCTAGACGGGGAACCCCACACTCACGGCAAGAACTAACCTAAGAAAAATAAGTCTCTCTTAGACAAAAATGCAAATAGCGTCATTCTACGTTAAGGTTACGCAGTGTCATTAACCCAGATTGGGCCACATGTGTGGTTTATGTAGTGTTCTTACGTGGAAAGAGGAATGAGGGGCTCGTCCCAGAGAGGGACAGGGCTTTACTTCAGTGTAAGAACAGCTGCTGTGTTCCAGGTCTCCACACTACACCTGGGACAAGGGCGGGTCACACTTTCAGAGCATGAGCAAGTCTGTTTCCCAGGGTGCTCTCCTGTTCACTCTGTATACGACAAAGTCCCAGGTTTCCTGAAATTCTCACAGGTCCCCCCGCACTTACTGCAGAGCTCACCACGCATGCAGATGGGGACTTACATCACCACGGGAGGCAGGGAGCCCCTGGGCCTGTGACCGAGTCTAACCGCAGCATGTCTGCTGGGGAGAGAAGAGGCTGCTTTGTGTCCTGTTAGCGATAGGCAATGACCCACCTCCCAGTGGGGATTAGAGCCCACTGTTGGCAAAATCATAATTTATATAACCCTGTCTCCAAAGAAAATCTACCTTTGGATAATAGAGTGATGATGGCCAATGTCTAGTAGCCTTTAGTTTAGTACGGAAGTTTAAGTTTTGGAAAGCAACTAGCTAGTAATTCCCCTGAGTGTTTTCTTGAAAATCTATGTGTGTGGAGTCCATTTGGCCCATGGCGGTTCGTGGTAAACAAGGTTCAAATTAAACGTAAGCATATGTAAAGTTCTTGAGGCCTCGGTTAGTGCTGGCTGTACATTTTTTAAGGTACATAGTGGTTCATGTTTTCAATAATGACAAATATATCCATTTTTCTTCATTAGTCAACCTTTAATGATTGAAGGGGTTTCTTAGATACTGTGTGATATTTTGGTATTCTCTGCTCTTTTCAGGAAAGTTTTCCAACTTTCCTTTGCTGACCTTGAATTGACCTCCTGCCACAATGCACTATAATTTCTTACTTGTGTTAGGTCTAGGGCCAAAAGCCCATGAAGACAAGAAACCATGCTTTATTCTCTTTTTTGTCATCAAATGATTTGTACCTAATCGGTGCTTAATTCAAAATTTTGGAGTAAATAAAAATATGGAGGGAAAAAAAAAAAAACCTTTAAAGATTCAGATAATGACAATCATTATTTTTCACTGTATACCTATTAACACTGGTCGCCTTCCCCAGCAGTGTGCCAGGGGTCAGTGTGATTGCTAAAGTTAGAGATATTCTGATATACGCATTGCTCAAGGATCGGGATCTGCAGTGGCTTCTCCTGCCCCCTGTCCAAATGAGGAGAGGCAAAATCCGTTTGGGATTACAGGTAAGCACACAAAAGTAGCTGAGCACATGTGGGCCTCGGCGCTGTGTTCACAAACTGGCTGGGACGCGCCTCTCTCTGCTCAGGAAGGACACCTAATACAGGGCGATCTTTCACAGTCTACACTGCCCTTTACAGAGGGGAGTTGATCGTTCTGGTAAGAAACACACATCCACTGAGTGGACAGGTGGGATCCCTGCACTGCATCTGGATTCCAGGTAGAGACTGCCTGGGGCTTGGGTTTTCTTCCACTCCGCTCCAGACTCAAGAAACCCCCCTATTTCACTGCGCGCTTCAGCCTGGTAGGATGGTAAGGCAAACTGTCCGTCCTGCCCTGTCGCTTGGCTTATGAGATGATTGAAGACATGCCCGCAAGAGAAAGTAATGTGCGTGAGAATGAGCCCTATGCTTGTGTCCATCTCTGGCCCCCAACACGGGAGCCTCGAATACACAGAAAAAGTGCGTGCCGGTTAACTTTGTACCTTCCTCTCCCAAATGACTGAGAACGGAGGTGAGCAAAGCAGGGAGTCATCGTGAGAGGGAAGCAAAGGAGACCGGATCTTGTACGGACAGACACGAGGTCTGTCTCTGTAACGAGACAAAACGGGGTGGGGGGCAGGATTTCAGTATTTCGTTGTCTTATGGTCCATCGATGGGTGCAATGTTCCAAGATGTGAAGCAGAAACCAGCCACCACTTAAAAGCTCGCATGAGAGAATCGGGAACTGAAGACGATATGCAGGTACACAGTGAGCACGGTTGACAACACGGCATTTTTAATCTGTATCTATAGAAAACATTTATATAAGCTCTCTAATAGAGGGATTATAGAAATACATTTAATATAGAATAGTGTACTTCGGTGTACTTACTGTGAAAATAGCACATTTATTTAGAGAGGGGGTTTATGCCCAAAGTTCTTGTGGACGTTTGGAAATATACCCATTTCCTTCTTTTGCAGTAACTGTTAGCAAGAAACGCAAAAGTACCAACCATGATCCATCGTCCTCATCGAAAGTCTTCTCCTCTTGAATGCTATTCCTCAGTCATCATCTAGAATGTTCCCATCAGTAAAATGTTCTAGAAAAACTTTTTTTTTTGTTTATGTTTTTGTTTGCGGTCCCGGGTCTACATCTGCCGGCACTCGTGCCTCGTGCACATGGCCTGCCTCTCGATCCTCCACGTGCCCTCCTCGTAAGTGCAGTGACAGATGGTGCACTCGTCAGTCTTGACTTCTCTCCCAGCTGGGATGACCGCCGTCTCCGCAAAGCAGTTTGGGCCTGCAACGCAGAAAAACGTTTATATTAGCAGTGTGCATGAATACGTAATGCATTTAATTAGGTAGCCAGCTTTACAGTATGTTTTATTCCCTCTCCTATGAATGATAGTGGCAAAGTGACAACTTAAATGATATGAGGCACTCCCACATTTGTCCTGAAATGAAACTGATGTTATTTCAATTTTTTGAGAGGCCATACTGTGATTTTCACTAACTGTTCCATTCGGGGGCCTTCTACAGAAGTCCAATCTGCAATCATTTGATTTAATTAATTCTAAGGAATCACAGAAAAAAGTTAATTAACTGTGACTTTCAAAAACAACCAGCCTTATTCTTCATGGCACCTTTACAGGAGGAAGTTTAAATAAGCAAACTTCTTGGAGTCATAGTAAGCCCCGTGTAACTGCCGCACCTCTCAGAGCCGGTGTTTGGACATCGGCCCCCAGGGGGCTCTTCAAACACTGGCTGCTGGTCCCAGCCCCACAGCTCTGACTCATTCGGTGTGGGATGGGACTGGAGAACAAGCTTTGGTGACACGTTCCCACGTGCTACGTGCTTGCTCCCGCTGCCGGTCTGTGAGCCCCTTCGGAAAGCACCATTTAGCACTGACCAGGCCTGTACCTTCCCCAGGCTTCCAGATCTGCTCTACCTCCGGACCTCCCTCTAAGTGGACACATGAGTACTTACCATGTACCACCCACAGCTTTGAACTTCAACACTGAGTCAGTCTCATTCTCCCTTCTCTGCATCTGTAGTCTTTGATAACATGCTCACTACCAAAATATGTTTAATTGTGATGTTCCCAGCCATAAAAGAGATGAGAAACATTCGCCTGCAAGTTTTTGTTTTTGTAATAAACTAATCCAAACAAGCTCCAGGATAAAAACTGGCTCTTATCATTCTAAGCAGAAAAACTCATGGTTTCGTGGCTACTGCTTTTCACATTAGCCCAGGGGTCGATGTCATCCTCTGGAACCTGTACCCCAGTATTCACAGCCCCTTCTACCTGCCAGGTCTCTGGCTTCTTCTTGCCCCTGGCCCTTCCTACTCAGACACGGCCCTAGGATTCAGCCCTTGACTTAATTGTTTCTCCATTGGAGACCTCGAAGCGTTCACAATCATCCCTCTGGGGATGAATCCAAATTGTGGCTCCACTCCTCTGTCTCGAGCGCTGGTTCTGTATTTCCAGCCTTACCAGGTGTGGTCAAGACCCTCTCCTCCGTCAGTTTTGGTGAATTACAGTATTTTAAATACAGACCCTCGCCCACTCAGTTGGCCAACGTGAGATCCTCCATCTCTGCACATTCCCGCACAACCCACTTGGGGCTCCTCCCGACCTCCATGCCCCAGGATGGCTTCCTCAGCTCTCTGTCCAAGGTGAGAGCCCAACAGTGGCATGGCAGCTGCTCCGGGCAGGACCCACTTTGTCCACACTATGCCACCTGGCACGTGAAACACCTGTAAAATCTACATTCCCTCTAGCTGTCTTTAGCATGCTTCTTTATTTCCGTTTGTTTCTTTTGCAGAGTTTAATCTAAGGACACAATCTCCTTCTCATTTTCCCTAATATCTCTCAGTGTGCTCTTCACACAGAGGACACACATAGAAGACACAACTGTCCAGAAATCCTGTACTTGTGGGTGTAGGTCCTTACAGGTCTCCTCTCCAGAAAAATCTGGATTCAAATGTGATACCTCTGCTTAACAGTTATGTGATCTTTGACTAAGTAATTTCGTTGCTTTGAGCTTTAATAGCCTCATTTACAGAAGGGCAGAGGACCCGGATAGACACTTTTCCAAAGAAGGCGTCCAGATGGCTGACAGACATATGCAAAGGGGCTCCACATCATTCATCATCAGGGAAATGCAAATCAAAACCACAATGAGCTATCGCCTCACACCTGTCAGAATGGCAAAAAAAAACAAAAACAAACAAAGAAAACCCAACAACAAAACAAACAAAAAACAAGAAATAACAAGTGCTGGTGGAGATGTAGAGAGGTGGAAACCCTCATGCACTGTCGGTGGGAATGCAACCGGGGTCAGCCCCAGTGGAAAACAGTATGGAAGTTCCTCAAAAAATGAAAAATAGAAATATCGTATAAGCCAACAGTCCCGCTACTGGGTATTTACCCCAAAACAAAAAACACTAACTTGAAAGTGTACATGCACCCCCATGTAGTAGCAACATTATTTACAATCGCCAAGCTATGGAAGCAACCTAAAAGTCCATTGATAGGTGAATGGACAAAGAAGGTGTGGAATATATATGCACTGGAATATTATTCAGCCATAAGAAAGAATGAGATCATGCCACTTGTAATGACATGGGTGGACCTAGAAAGTATTATGCTAAGGGAAATAAGTCATTCAGAGAAAGGCAAATACCATATCGTTATATGTTTATGCATGTGGATGCCTAAATATTCTACCACCATTTGTTAAAAAGATCATCTTTTCTTCATGATACTGTGTTTACTTCAAGATCAGGTCACTCTATGTATTTGGATTTATTTCTGGGTTCTCAATTCTGTTTATCGACCTGGTTATGTATTCTTTTGCCAATACCAACGACTGTCATTTCATGTGGGTTGTCAAACTTGTAGGCACAGAATTGTTCCTAGTATTCCCCTGTTACCCTTCTAACGTCTGTAGGATCTGGAGTGATGTCCCCTATTTCATGGTATTAGTGGTTTGTGTCCTCTCTCTTCTTCCCCTAGTTAGCCTGGCTAGAGGCATCTCAATTCTATTGTTTTTTTTTTTTTTCTCCAAAGAATCAACTCTTGATATGTTTGACTTTCTCTGTTTCTCATTTTGAATGTAATTGATTTCTGCTCAAATTTTTATTATTTTTTCTTCTGCTTCCTTTGGATTTAATTTGCTTTTCTCTTTCAATGTTTCTTAGATGGGAGTTCAAACTGATTTCAGTACTTTCTTGTTTTCTAATATATACATTCAATGCCTTAAGTATCCCTCCAATCCCCACTTTTGCTGCATCCCACAAATTCTGATCATTGTGTTTTCATTTCAATGAAGTTCAAAAAGTTTTAAAATTTTTAAAATGTTTAAAATTTCTCTTGGGACTCCTTTTTTGATTGGTATGTTTTTTTGGAAGGCTGTTGTGCCCCTCCAAGTATCTGTGGGTTTTTCAGATATCTTTCTCTTATTGATTTCTGATTTAATTCCATTGTGGTTGGAGAGCAGACACTGTATGATTATGATTTCTGTTCCTTTACATGTGACGCAGTGTGTTTTATGGCCCAGGTTGAGCTCCATCTTGGTAAATATGCCATGGGAACTTGAGAACTATGTGTATTGTGCCATTGTTGGGTAAAGTAGCCAATAGATATCAACTATATTCAGTTGATTGATGGTACTGTGTTCAATTACGTCCTTACTCATTTTTTGCCTCCTGGATATGTCCATTTCCAATAAGAGATGTTGAAGTCTCCCACTGTAATAGTGAATTCATGTGTTTCTTCTTGCAGGTCCATCAGTTTTTGCCTCTTGTACTCTGAAACTCTGTTGTTGAAGAATACACGTTGAGGGTTATTATATCTTCTTGGAGAACTGACCCATTTATCATTATGTAATTACCTCCTTTATCTTGGATATGCTTCTTTGCTTTGAAGTCTACTCAAATTAATACAGCTACTTCTGGGGGCACCTGGGTGGCTCAGTGGGTTAAAGCCTCTGCCTTCGGCTCAGGTCATGATCCCAGGGTCCTTGGATCGAGCCCCGCATCGGGCTCTCTGCTCGGTGGGTAGCCTGCTTCCCTTCCTCTCTCTCTGCCTGCCTCTCTGCCTGCTTGTGATCTCTGTCAAATAAATAATAAATAAAATCTTTTAAAAAATACAGCTACTTCTGCTTTCCTTTTGTTAGTGTTAGAATGATTTATTTTTCTCTGTCCACTTACTTTTTAATATATATATGTTTTATATTTAAAGTGGGTTTCTCATAGACAATACATATACATAGCTGGATCTTACGTTCTGATCCGCTCTCCTTCTGTCTCTTAGGCCATTAACATTTGGAGTGATTATTGAGGGGTACCTAGGTGGCTCAGTCAGTTCAGGATCCAACTCTTGGTTTGGGCTCCAGTCATGATCTCAGGGTCATGAGAGTGAGCCCCATGTCAGGTTCCATGCTCAGTTGGGGAGTCTGCTTGAAGATTCTCTCCCTCTTCCCCTCCCCCGACTTGTGCACACTAATGCACCCTCTCTCTAAAATAAATCTTTGAAACAAATAAAGTGATCATTGATATAATTGGATTTCTAGCTACCGTATTTTTTACTCTTTTCTACCTGTTGCTTTTATTCTTTGTTCTTATTTTTATTTCCTTCTTTTTCTGCCTTTTCTGATTTAACTTAGCACTTTATAGGATCAGATTTTCTCTCCTTCTTAAACATATGTTGCACCTTTTTTTTTAACTAATCCAAGCCCACTTTCAAATAACACTATTGAGCTTCAAGAATAGTGTGAATAATGACAAATAACAAATAATCCCAATCCCTCCCTCCCAGCTATTGCAGCTATATTATTATTAATTTCACTTATTCATAAGCATAAATAAAGGTATCTATCCAACTATGTATCAGCATATGTAACTGGATCTATGGTTAATAGTGTCATTTTGAATGAACTATTATCTGTTAAATCACTGAAGGATAAGAAAAATAAGGGGCATCTGGGTGGCTTAGTCAGATAAGTGTCCAACTCTTGACTTTGGCTCAGATCACAATCTCAGGGTCATGAGATTAAGCGTTACATCCAGCCCCAAGTTGGGCTCCATGCTGGTCATGGGGCCTGCTTAAGATTCTCTCTCCCTCTCCTTCTGTCCCTCCTCACTGCATGCACACTCTCACTCTCTCTTTAAAAAAAAAAAGAAAAAGATTAAGAAAAATAAAAGTTTTTTTCCTACCTTTCCTTATTCATTCTCTGATGCTCTTCATTTATGTAGATCCAAATGCCTGCATCTTACCTTCTCTCTCTCTCTAAAGAG